ATTTTATTAATTTAAATTAACATTTACAGAGATTTTGGATTTTCATTCATTCATTGTTGCATGTTTTTCTTTACCCCCTCCCCCCAGTTCACTTCTCTCTTTGAAAAGCAAAAGATAAACTTCTTCGTTGGTATGCAGTCCCTCCCACCCCCCAACCCAGTGCACTCCACTATGCAACCTTAATTCTGGATTCCTTTGATAATCATAATATGCTATCATATATCACTTTTAAACTGTTCTATCCCTCATCTATTTCAATTCAGTATACATAATCTATCCAGTTTTTCTCAGTCTTACCCCAACCCTGATGTCAGTCTCTTTCTACAACAGTGGCATCATGCAGTATTTGTCCTTTTGTGACTGAGATATTTTACTCTGCATGATGTCTTCCAGGGTCACCCATTTTGAATAATATTGCATGGGTTCCTTGTCTTTCAATGCAGCATAGTATTCCATTGTGTGAATATACCACAGCTTCTCTATCCATTTGTTGTTTGTTGATGGGCACTTAGGTTTTTTCCAACTCCTAGCTATTGTGAACAAAGCTGCGATGAACATGAGTGTGCATATATCTGCTTGGATGTCAGTTATGGTCTCTTTAGGGTATATTCCCAGTAGTGGAACTTCTGGGTCAAATGGTATCTCTATTTGCAACTTTTTGAGAAAGCCCCACACCACTTTCCACAATAGTTGCACCATTTTATACTCCCACCAACAGTGAAAAAGGGTTCCACTTTCTCCACAATTTCGCCAGCATTTGTTGCTTGGTGTTCTGTTAAATTTTGCTATTCTCAGAGGACATTTTAATGAGAGAACATGTATCCAGTGGAGAGTAAGAAAAATACCAGAGTAAATCAAGGCAATGGTTGTTGCAATGTTGTATATAATATGATGGCCAATGGAGACCTCTCTAATAAGGGGAAGTTTAAAGGGGACCTCAAGAAAGTTTAAAAAGGACTTCAAGTGAGCCATAATTATTTTTCAAGAACAGTATTTAAAGCAGAAGGAACAGTAGAGAGACCTCCCTGGTTCCAGGCAGTGCTAAGACCAGTTAAGGAGTTGTGTTGTAACATTTGTTCTTATAAGTATGAGGTGACTCTGACTGAGATCTGAGTGACAGCAGTGAGCATCAGGTTCTCACCATTGTTTGCTAGCCTATGGTTTTGTGATATAAGAGAAAGATGAGTTAAGGATGACTCCAGAGTTAGGGCAACTTGAATGAGTAAAAATATCACTCTAATCAGATGAGAAAAATTTCAAGGAAGATTACTTTCTAGTTAATGTGCTTTTTAAAATATTAAATATTTGTTAAGGATACATAGTGAAATATAAACATAATTTGTTTTTATATAGTTTCTTCCTTTGTATATATTTTCCATTTTCCATAGTCCTTTTTAGAAAATAAAATATGTCTGGATGATGTAGCGGATAAAACACTTGACTGTTAACCAAAATAAAATATGTAAGGAAGAAAAATGGTTTCAAATTATAGAATGCTTTGTGTTCAGCAAAACACTATTGTTTGAATATTTAGTCGGTAACTTAGTTCTTGCTCAAAATTGACTTGATATAAGTCTATTGCCAAGATACCAAGTGTCATGCTAATAAAGCTCAAAGTTAAAAATAGCTTAAGAGTAATGGCAGTTGTTAAGTGCTGT